CATTTACAACGGTTCGGACACGGAGCCCCCCGGCCTCATTTACAACGGTTCGGACACGGAGCCCCCCGGCGTCATCTACAACGGTTCGGACACGGAGCCCCCCGGCCTCATCTACAACGGTTCGGACACGGAGCCCCCCGGCCCCATTTACAACGGTTCGGACACGGAACCCCCCGACCCCGCTGAGGATGGCCCGGGCACGGAGCCCCCCGGCCCCGCTCACAACGGTTCGGGCACGGCGGCTCCCGGCCCTCAGGAAGACTCGAAGCCCCTCAGCCCAGCCGAGGACGGTCCGGGCACGGAGCCCCCCAGCCCGCAGGAGGACGCGGCTCCMCCGGACGGCTTGGACGTGTCGCTGGTGCCGCCGGAGCTCCGCGCGCGGCTGCTGGACCGGCGGGACTACCGGAGCCGCGCCGAGGCCGTGGAGCAGCTGCGGCGGGCGGTGGAAGGCACCAGCCCGGCCGCTCTGAGCGCCGCTCCCGCCGCCGCTCTGCTGGGTTTGATCGCGCTGCTGGACGCGCTGCTGCACGACCCCAACTTCGCTGTGGCGCGGGGAGCGCTGGAGGTGACCCGGCTGCTGGCGCTGCGCCTCGGCCGCCGCGTCCCCGCCGTGCTGGCCCCGCTGGTGTGCGCGGCAGCCCGGGCGCTGGCGGACGCTCAGCCGGCCATGCGGAGGGACAGCGCCCGGCTGCTGCTGCGCTTGATGGCGGTGGTGGGACCGCGACCCGTGCTGCGCTTGCTGCTGCAGGAGCGGCTGCTCCGACACCGCAGCGCCCGGCTCCGCGAGGAGCTGCTCAACACGTGCATCGTGGCGCTGCTCACCTACCCGGCCAACGAGCTGGAGCTGCCCCGGCTGGCGGCCGCGCTGGCTCCGGCGCTGCTGGATGCCAAGCGCAGGGTCCGGCACGCTGCCATGGAAGCGTTCGCCGCGCTGGGCTCGGCGCTGGGTCCCGCGAACAGCGGCACTCTGCTCCGCGCTCTGGATGCCGTGGAGCTGCGGGCCGGGGGTGCCGGGGTGGTGCACGCCGTGCAAGCCAGGCTGGCCAGGAAAGTGCTGCCAAAGCTGGGCGAGCAGGCGCTGGTGGAGTACGGAGTGCCCTCGCCTTCCTCCGGGCACTGCCGCGGGCATTGTCCCCCGCCCGGAGCCGACACCGAGTGGCTGCTGATGGGCAGCAGGAGCCGGAGCGCTCACAGCCACTGCGGGCACGGAGCTCTGCACGGAGCGGGGTGTGTGGAACATCGAGTGAGCCCCCGGAGGATCCTGAGCGCCGGCAGAGCCAAGAGCAAACTGCCCTGGGAGAACGAGCCGGCTGCAGACAGGGATGGTGGCTCCGGAGTCAGGATGCCTGTCGCTAAAGCTGTGGAGCAGGTCTGTACATCCCTGCCTTCCTTCATCCTTTATTTCCAGATTCAAAGTTGTCAGAGCCTTGTTAACTAAGAGGTATTTGGCTGCTGTTTCCGTGTTTCAGTAATAATATTTTTTCTCTACAGTTAATTAAAGGCAACATTACAGCCTTAGAAACTAATTCTTTAAGTACTTTTGTTTAGCTGCATATTTTTTGATGGTATCTGATGAATGAGGCTATTGGATCAGCTGAGTGCAAGATTCGTTATAAGAATAATGAATAATAAATTCTTGCACTTCATATGTAAAAATACCACTGCAGAAGTGGTATTTTTGATACCATCTGCAAATCACCTGGTGTTTAGGGGAAAGCAAAAATAAGCTTTCTATAGGTCATTAGTAGGAAATTTTTAATTTTCAATCATGTGTCCCAGGTTGATGCTCAGACATCTTATCTTCTGTTCCTGTTTGCACAAAATCTGACTTATTATTGATTTATTTAGCATTTGGTATTAGCAAATATGGATATCTAAAAGAAATGGTCCAACAGGTAAACACAAAGCACAGGGATTTTACAGATGACATAGGGGAGGCAAATAGTCTTGGCTAAAACAGAGCGTGCCTGACTGACATTGCCTGTCTGAAATGAAAACATATGGTAGGACTGTTGGGTTTTTGTAATGAATAAATAAATAATCYCCTTTCAGAAGCATTATTTTCAGGATCAGGTCAGACTTAAATCGCTTTGGGAAGGTCAGTTTGGGAATTCCTTGTGTCAGATTCAACCAAGCAACTTGCCAGGCCATTTATCACTTACAAAAAGAAATATAAATATAATTACCTACTGCCCACATCTGCAGCTGGAAAGGGGAGGAACCTCTGGAAAATTGTTCAGGTCATTTTTTTCCTCCTCCAGTGGTTCTGGGATGTGTTTTGGATACCACACTTGGGGAGTGTATCTGTGTGTGATGGGGGTTCTGTTGTGGTTTTCTTGTTTTTTTTTGTTTTTATTTTTGTTTTTTTTTAAAGTGGACCCATTGCCAGACTATTTATCACTTACAAAAAAAAAAATTATAAATCCTTTTTTCATGTTATCTGGACTCCATGAGACGCTCCTTAGATCTGATGGTGGTGACATGACTGACATGTTAATGATGACATGGCAATGAGCACAAGAGTGGGGAAAACAGACATTATTTGTGTGTGTGTGT